GCTCTGAGCCCAGAGATGGGTGGGCCACAAAATTTCTCTTAAACAACTCCTGGGGTCCCTTATTCTTGGAATAAGGGGTACCCAAGTGTCCTCCAGACAGTAGGCCATCCCAAATCATGCTAGTCTTGGGGGGACTACAGAAATGTCCCCTAAAGCACCCCCTCCCTTTTCCCCCCAACAGCTGCTGGCTCAATGCCGCTGGCCTGCTGCCCCTCACCAGCTCCCGGCCCGGTTGGCACCTACCCACCAGGATGCTGGCAGTCCTGCCCTCCTCTCCCTCCTACCCCCCTGCTCCCAGCACCCCATGCCAACTGTGGGCCTGAGGTGGGGGAGGGTCACCCCTGTACCTTGGTGCCAGCCAGGCGGGGCCAGGCCCCTAGGCCCTACAGATAAGGTCCAAGACCCTGTTCTGAAACCGAGTCCTCAAGAGGCAGCACCACATGGGAATGCTAGGAGGCTAAGGACAGCCCCACGAGCAGTCACTGAAGGATCTGCTCTGCAGGGCTAGGGCTCATGTCTCTCCTTGCCACAGGTACCAACCTCCTGGCATTTCCCTGGCCCAAGCAAATGCTTGGGCACCAAAGTCCCTGCAGTTCTGAGAGCCCTGGTCTAGTGCCTGCAGCTTGCGAGGGAGTGGGGTGGGGCTGCTCCCTGCCCTTTGATCCCCATAAAGGGAGGGAACCGGCCTGGAGGGCAGGGGGCAGGGAGAGAGTTCTTGGGGCCCCTCATTCCACCCTTGCCAGGGGCAGCAGGGCAGGGTGTGGGCATCTCTTGGGTGGGGCCCTAAAGTGAAGATGGGTTGCAAGTCTCAGCAAGGAAGATGGATGTCAGTCATGGATACATGGTGTCATGTGGGAATGGGATGGCAAAAACAAAGTGAGGGGATGCAGAGGGTACCCATTTTGCAACTCTCTAGCCTTGGCTTTTACCCTCCCCCAGAAACACTTCCAGACTCAGCCAAACTGAGAGCTGGCTCAAGGAGGACTACAACTCCCAGTATGCACCATAATTACCTTGAGTATACCTTGGGAGTTGTAGTTCCCTTCAGAAACCTTGGGTTCTCCTCTTTCCAGGAGCCCAGCTGATTGGGTGGGGAGGGTAGAGGACTTGGTTGTAAAGGACTGTTTTTTTAAGGAGACATAAGAGGCTAGAGGGTCCATGGAGGGGGAAAGGACCTCTGCTCCCAGGCAAAGTAGGAGGAAGGAAGGAGGAGAGGATGTCTGTTGAAAGGGGCATATGAGTGGGGAGGAGTTGGGGGGGCGGTGGAAACAGGAAGGAAACTGAAGCCAGAGACATGAGGTCGAAAGCAAGGGTTTGGGGGAGCCCCACTCTGAGGCCTGGCAGGGACTGGGAAGGCATTTCCCCTACTATTCTGGTGCCCTGGGGAGGTGTAAGAGGAATTGGTGATGTCAAGGGTAGCAAACTGGTGCACCTGTGGGGGTCTCTGGCTCCATTTGCTTGCCATCAGCCCCCTTTACCAGGTGCATCCCCATCCCTGGACCTGACACAGGTATTTGCTGGCGGGGCTCTGATGGCTGACCTGGTTCTGGGAAAGCTAGAAGGCAGAGCAAGGCTTCGGGGAAGGCCAGGCATGATAGTCAAGTAAGTGGGGGTATGTGTGAGGTCCAGCCCAGGTGTGAGGCCAAGAGAGGGGAAGGGCAGGGACCGTAGCTGCTCAGAGGCCTCAGAGAAGAGAAGCTAAGATGTCAATGCCACCTACCTCCCATCCACCCTAGGCTGTGGGACAAAATGAAGAGGGCAGCCTTCTCTGGCCTCCCTGAAGATTTTCTAAATCTAGCTTTTCTCCTAGGCTAGAACATTAAAGATGGCATCTCAGGGGGCCAGATGGCAATTGGGTATCTCTTCCTAGTGGGGACAGAGGTCAGAAGTGAGAAAAGGATCTTCCTTGAGAATACTTTTTCTGGGCTCCCCAAGGCTACAGGACAGATGCTGATAGACTCCAGCCAAGATTCTTGCCAAGAACTGAGCCCTGCTGGGTGGGGGGGTCTTTCTAGGTTCTCACCAAGCCCCTGACAGTAGCTCTATCCCCTTCCCCCCAGTCCCCCAGTCCCGCCTTGGCGCCTGGCCGCTTGTGTGTTGGCAGGACTGGGGGGGGGGCGAGGCAACTTCAAACTGTCCGGGCAAAACGTCAAGTTCACTCACGAGTTTACTCAGCAGAAGGAGGGGGAAGAGGCCAGAGCGGGCACACCCCATGCCAGGGTCCTATCCGTCTGCCTGTCCCCACCTTCCTCCCCCACCCTCCTCTTCAGCCCTAGGCCAAAACAGGCATAGGCCCCAAGGCCTGGTGGCAGGGCAGTCTTAACTCTCAGGAAGGTCAGGGAACCAAGCTGTCCAGAGGCAGGAAGCCCTGAAGCAGGCCCAGAGGCTTCTATCGGAGAGCAATGCCCTGCCTGGAGCCCATTCACTCCCCATCTTGGGGCTTTGGCCTTTGGCCAGGAGAACTGGGTCTCTCAACCATCAAGAAGGGGGCAATACCAAGCCAGGCCTCTTCCATCTGAACCGTCGCCTGGGCAGTGACTTCTGACCCTAAATGCCCAGTCCTAGGCTGTACCTCAGGCCCCAGCATGATGCCATCTAGGCAGCCATAGGATCCGAGGCTAGTTCTCTCAGCCTTGGCTTGGAATGGGGGGCCAGCACCCTATCTGACCTACTTCCCTTTCCTCCCCACCTGCTTTCATTCTCTGCTTCTCCCCCCAGCCTTCACTGTCCCCACCCTAGAGGCGCTCCGCCCCCCATGCCCGCTGGGTCCCCCTCCCCCACCCTTCCCCAGGGTGCCAAGTGCAAGCACACAAAGGGCCCGATGGTGCATTGTTAGCCCAGCCCCCGCTGCCCGCCGCGCCCTCCCAGGGCGGGCACTAGGCCAAGGAGGAGCTGGGGGCCCTGGGTGCCAGGGGGCACCATGGGGAAAGGGGAAGAGGAAAGCACCTGTCTCCCAGACACTGGGGTCCATATAAGCCAGGGCTGAGCCGTGATCAGAGGGCCCGTTGGAGCAGGCCTGTCTCCTTGACACCTGAGCCTAGTGGGCACTGCCTTCTTTCTTCCCTAGAGCCCCTTTCTGGTGGCATTAACCCCTTCCTAGCCCCTGTGCCAAGGCTGGGGGTGTGGTACCCAAGGGAAGGGACAGTGTCTGGGGGTGCCAGCAAGCAGCGTTGTGCCCACAGCAACCATGTAACAGAGGCACGCTGGGGGAGCTGGGGTCCCGGGGGCCAGGGACAGGAGGCACTGACAGAGATTTCTCCTTGTTTCATCAGCTGCTCCAGGGGGAGCCCCCTGCCTTTCTCCCCAGTTACCACTAAGGAGGAACACTGCCACCCAAACCTAGTCACAAATATGGCCTTCTCCAGGGCAGCACAGCACTCCTTATGCCCAATATCTCCTCCCAACCTGATGCCCACTTCATGCCAGCTTTACCAGCAGTGCCAGGAGGGTACAGGGGTGACCAAACCAGTTGGTGTGTGTAGGGCAGCAGGAGGTAACCCCATAATCCTCCAGGCCTCAGCCCCTCACCCCCAACACACACACTACACACACTCCCCCAGGGAACAGAGAGTTCCCATCCTGGTTTAACCCCTCTCTGCCCAATCTGGCTCCCCTCACCCCTGATACACGTTCTCCCTCCTCCAGGAATAAGTTGGGGGAAGGGGGAATAGCTGCGCTGACTCATTTCCATTCTCAGCTGCAGCTAGGGGTCTCCAAGGCATTCGGGCGGGGGTCAATTCAAGAACGCCCTCCACCTGGCCCGGAAGCCAGGATAGCCTGCCGGTCTCCCCCTCTCCCCAGCACCCACTTCCGGTGTCCCAAACTAGGTCAGCAGCGCTCGTTTCCTGTGGGTCAGCTAGCACCGGCGCCTCTGCCCCTCCCCTGCTCCGGACCCAGGCTCCCCGCCCCCCCTGCCCCCCAGGGCGCCCCGAGGTCTCACCACGTCTCAGCCGCCCTTTGATACATGGGGGTTGTACGGGGCACGGGGGGTGGGCAGGGGACCCGCCCTCTCTCCAAACACTAGCAGGGCCGGGGCGCCTGGGCAGGCACGTGTCCGGGCACAACCCGCTGCCCACGCTGGCCCCCCCACTCTCGCCCCCCCCCTCTGGCCGGGACACGTCGCTCTCTTACTTGGGGTGGGGTGGGAGGGAGGGGATAGAAAGCTGGAAATTGAAAGCGAAGCCCCCCACCCCTTTGAATGGCAGCCCTCGGCCAGCAGCGCACATTAGGTTCCACAACAACATAGTAGCGACCCCCATTCTGAGTAGGGGCAGGTGCGCCGGCGCCGGTGGGAACCAGAGGTAGGTAGGCGAATTCTTCCTAGTCACCCACCCTCCTCTAGGCTTTGGAAAGGTGGCGGCGGGACTAGAACCTGGAGGAAAGGAGTGGGATTGAGGGCCGCGGGGGGGAAAGGGGTCGTTCGGAGGCGGTGGCAGAGCCGCACTACTACTGGGGAAAGAGCCCGGCTCGGAGAGCGCAAGAAACCGAATAGTCCAGCCGGTAACTTTCCCCCAAGCTGCGGCTCCTCGATCCCCCACCCCCCATGCAACTGGCCCGGGTCCAAGCCACCGCGCCAGGGGGCAAGGGGGGGCGCGTTGTCCTAGTTAGAGTCCGTCAGCGTTTCCACTCCCTCAAGTCGGCCGGGTCTGGGGTCTCCGGGTAAAGTCCCAAGGAGACTGGAGGCACGCTCGGCGCCGCCGTACCCCCTCTCCATCCCGGAGCCGACAGTCTGTCTGGTCTTAGGAGAAGTGCAGAGAAAGTTTCTGGGGACCCTCTGCCCAGGGTTGGGGGGCGGCCGTGGTTTCTTCTCTACCTTGCCTCCCGGTTCAAACCAATCCCAAAGATCCGGGAAAGCAAAGAGAAGCGGACTGGTGGGAATCTGGTCTGCACGAGCGTGTGTGTATGTAAGGGGGTCCCACTTACAGGACGGACGAAGGACACTGCAGTAGTCTCGAGTCTAGTGGACCCCAAGCCTGGAGACAAAAGTGGGGTACACTCACCTCTTGGCCGTCGGGTCCGCTGGCTGGAGCTGCTGAGGCACAGGGTGTGGGGAGAAGCGCGTCCCCCGCCAGGCCCGGGGGCTTGGGGCCCTGCTCCGGTCCTGGTCAGAAGGCCGCGGTCAGTCGCTCGCCGCTCGCTGCTGGGGGGCTCCTCCTCCGCCGCCCTCTGCCTCCTCCTGCCGC